GGATATCTAATTTACTAACACCATTTATTAAAAAGACCTTCCTTTCCCCATTAAGTCACTGGTAGATTTGTGATGCCAGTTGACCATAAATCTATAGATTGATTTCTGAACTTTACTCTGTAACGCTGGCTGGCGTGTCTATCATTATGCCAGTATCATGCTATTTTAATTTCAATCACTTTGTACTACATTGTGAGGAGGTCATCTACTGCAGAGGCTCTGGCTTTGTTCATTATGCTCATAAATTTATCAATTATTGAGGTTTGTGTATGTATCTATGAGATTTAGGACTGTTTTATCTATATCATGAAAAATAACATTGGAATTGCAATAAGGATTATATTATAGTATAGCTATTTTAACAATATTATTTTCTTCAAATCCATGAACATGGAATATCTTTCCACCCATTTGCATCTTCATATATATAAATATGGATACATATATGATTTCACTCATGGCTTTGGCATTACGACGGTAAAACACACTGCAGTCATACCCTACCACCTGTCACAGTAAAAGTCTCACAGCACACAGACTTTAGACGGTTGTCTGTGATGGGTTACATTTAGTATTGTCAAAATTTGGCTTAAAGAAGTCCATGAAAGCTAGGTTTAATGCTAGCACTTGAGAGGTAGAAACTGGCTGATTTCTGTGAGTTCAATGCCTGGTCTACATGGCAAGTTCCAAGCCAGCCAGGGTTACATAGTGAGACCCTGTCTGTCCCCCCACAGAAAAAGACAAGTAACAATTTAAAACACCACTTGGGAGACAGAGTTTGGTGGATCTATGTGAGTTTGAGGCCAGTCTGATCTACACAGTGAGTTCCAGGACAGAGAAACCCTGTCTCAAAAAACGTAAAAAAATAAAAGAAAAATGTAAAACACCATTAGATATATGTTATCAGCTGTGGTTGTATGCTCATTTTGTTAACTTGTACCTCCCAATTCTGTTCTATTACTCCTTCTATTTAGGTTTCATTTTCCAGGACCCTGTGGGACAACTCTTCCTGAAGCCCTCGCTCCTCATGAAACTGAAAGGGTGTCTTAATTGTCCTTTGGAAAGAGGAGAAAATCCTGCAGCACATAACCAGGGCACTAACAGGAGAAGGAGTTTTGTGGATGGTGAGCTGAACTTTGGGAAATCTAAACATGCCCTTTGAGCCCCTAGAGGACAGTCAGTCTGTGAAGTGATTGGGCTTCAAACCACCAACAACAAATGTGTTTTCTCTGGAGAGGCTGACAGGCTGTCAAGTTCGTCCATATTATTTGATTTCAACTGAAATAAGAGTATTTTAGATTTGCTGTTCTTGTTCAGTTACTAGGAGGAAAAGTTTGTAATTAAATTACTTGAGAAGGTTAACTATGCTGATTGTTTGCATCTAACATTCATTAACATGCTAAAAGCTAACCCTTAGTATTTATTTTTTGCACAAATTTTTGTGGAAATGAAACCATCCTTTAAGGTCGGTAACTTCTTGTGTAAGAATGTCCCTCCAAGAGCTGCCTTTTTTTGGGGGCTTCTTTTCCTTTTCTTTTCAGTATTTACCTTGCTTGGATACCTTACTTTAAAGAATATGGACTAACTTCCTGCAAGAACTCATGCAAGGCAAGAAAAGGAATAACCAAGTAGAAATGTCAGGGTGAGCAAAGGAACAATGCAAACCCAGGGCAATGCAGACGAGCTGCTTCTGAGGGAAGGAAGTGATGGGTGATCACCATTTAGTGTCAACAGTGGAGGAAAACATCGTCTCTGCTGCTCTACGTCATCATTTGGTGTCATACATGAGGGAGCATGTGGTTGGTCTCCACTGGTTTATGAGCTCCATGGGACCCTGAAAATGGCCCTTTTACCTTGCAGTTTAATAACAAGAACGGTGCACTGTCTCCGAGCCCCATCTGCTTACGCAGCACAGGGCCTGAATTACGGCAGGGATGCGAGGCCTAGAGAGGAGCAGTGTGCTCCAGTGAAGACAATAAAGGACATACATAATGCTCTCCCTTGGGTCCAGTCAGTTCCCCAGGTAACTATGTACCTGGGCTGCCTCACCTCAGCCCCTCTCAATGTAAGACCCCCAGAAAAGCTCAGGCCTCCTGGGTCTCAGCCCAGGACCTTGGTCACCCCAATCACCAGGCGGATTCGAAAGCTTGATCCAAACTGCATGAGGCTTTATTGTTGTTTAACGAGCTAACCCCATGTTAGCTTGGGCCTTTCATCCATCCCCCATGGCGGATGGCTAGAAAAGACAGCTCGAACCGGCTGCATAGAGATCTTATAGGGCAGTATAAGGGGAGTGACTAGGGGTATTCACAGGCTCAGGATTGGTGTGCCTCCAGGCTTGGAGGGCTTGCCCTGTGTTGATTGGTCAACTGGTTGTTATGGTCCATAGGCCCTCCCAGGGTGGTTGCTATGCTCTGCTCTTCATTGCTGTGCACTTGTCTGTAAAGTACACCCAAAGCCGTAAAGCATAGCACACTAGCTAACTTCTGATTGGTTCCTTGCCACGAGGCAGGCATCTGACCTCTTAGTGACCAAGGCAAGGTCATGGCAAGCACGTGTTACTGTTATGGCTGCCGAAATGGGGAGCTGGTCCCTTCACTCAGAACTCCATACATGTTAGTACCCAGGGCTTCTGTCGTGAGTTAACTTTCTCATGCCTATGACCAAAATACCTGACAAAAGTTAATTTAAAGGGTGAAAGGTCTAGTTTGGCTCACAGTTCGAAGGAATGTAGCATAGCAGGAAAAGCACATTAGAGGGAATGACTGGGTCTGTGGCTGCCCAGAAAGTAGAGAAAGGGACTCCCAGCATTCCCAGTTTTCCTTTTCCCCTTTATATACAGTCTGCTCGTCACATCCAGGGTATTTCTTCCTCAGTTAGTCCTCTCTGGGATTTCCCTACAGGCACATCCAAAGGTGTGTCTCATTAACATGCTTGGTGAGTGCTGCATGGCTGGGTGCTGGAAATGAAGAAATGACAGACATGGAACAAATGACAGAAACACAGCCAGAAAAGCTGAGGTTGGGTTGGTTGTGACACTCTGATGGAGGATGCCTCTATGCAACCGGAAACTCAGCAAGTTTATTATGTGCAGCACAAGGGAGGAGGGGGCACTGGAGGGAAGCAGTCTCAGGTCACAGTCACCCAGGGGGAGGGAGCTGTGGCTGCCAGTTTTCACACACAGTCAACATTGGCACAGGAAGGCTTGCCATTCCCATGGGTCTGAAGCATTGGGGTCCTTTACGTTGACAGGACTACACCCATGTCAACAATATACATTCACTCCGGACTTCATGGCTCCCCAGTGTTCATTATACCATTCGAGTTGACAATTGAAATGATCTACCACAGGCAACAAGGTATAGTTCTGTGACCGCCATTTATTTGTAACAAATTCTAAAAGTCCTTTGTCAAGAAGTCAAGAAGATAGTTTCTCCCACTTACTGGGAGCCTGGAGAACTAACCAGACACCTCCAGAGCCACACTTTAGATGGGTGGACCTGTACAGATAAGGGCCGGTAATAACTTCAGTGATACCTTTAAAAAAGAGTAGTGTGTGTCTGCAACGGGTATGTGTACTGCAGCAACCAGAGGTGTTGGAGCCCCTGGAGCTAGAGTTACAGATGGTTATGAGCTGCTAGACATGAATTCTGGGGACCAAACAGGTCCTCTGGAAGAGCAGCAGGTTCTCTTAACTACTAAGCCATCTCTCCAGCCCTCTATGGCACTTTTTTCCCCTCTAGACAGGTTTTCTGTGTGTAGCTTTGGAGCCTGTCCTGGCACTCGCTCTGTAGACCAGGCTGGCCTTGAACTCACAGAGATCTGCCTGCCTCTGCCTCCCAAGTGCTGGGATCAAAGGCGTGCGCCACCACCACCCAGCCCTCTGTGATACTTTTAATGTGGGTTTTATACAGTACCATCATGTGCTTTTCATAGATTTGTCATTGGAACTTCAGCTTAACACTTTCCATTTTCTTAATGTAAGCTATGGTAGAGATCAGCACACTGCCCCAAACTTTTTTTTTTTTTTTTTTTTGAGATACTGCTTCACTTTAACCCAGGGTGGCCTGGAATTTAAGATTTCCCTGCTTCAGCTTCCTGAATGGTGGTTGGGATTTCAGTTGTGTGTTACTGTGCCTGACTCTGAGAATAGTTTTCATTTATTTAAGGCCCAGAGGTTTCAGAGACTCCTGACCCCATCCAGCTCACAGCCTCCCCTCCTCTGAGAGGGGAGATCTTCCTCTCTGCCTATCTCTTCTCCAACACTTCTTGGTTAGTTTATTTCTAAAAACAAGTATGAGCTTTTGTTTTTAAATTGGAAATTGCTTCTAAATAAGAAGCTTATATAGGATTTATAAGTACAAAGCATATATGATTGTAACTAACCACTTGTTGAACATACACTGTGTAATAGACATTAGAAATCAATGATTTCAGAATGGGTGAAGCAACTGGCACGTGAACTAATTGCAGAGTGTGAACAGTATCAGAAACGTGTGCAAGGTTCAGACAACAGTAACTAGACATGCCAGCGCCGCCATGGGGTGGATGCTGCGGGCCTTGAATTGATGCTTGGGTGAAGAATCATTTCATATTAATATAATGGGTAAGAGACAGAGACCACGGGGCCACGTGTATGCCCAGAATACACAGAGGGATGCATCCTACAGCAATGACGGTAATTATTTATTTCGCCCTTGACGCTGTTCCACTGATCACACCAACCTGGGAACAAAAACCAAAAAAGAGAAAAAAAAAGAAAAAAAGCAAACAAACCAACCAAAAACAAACAAACAAATAAATAAATAAATAAACCAAAACAGAGAGCGACACTGACAAACGCGATGCCCGGTTTCTTCCTACCCAGACTGTCTTCCGGGTCACAACCAGAGCGGGGAGCCCCGCCCTCCTTCCGCGCACGCGCCTAGACGCGTGTTGTGGCCTCCGAACCGACAGGGGGCGTGGAGAGCGCGCGGCGCGCACAGCCAGCGGCTGCTTCCGGGTCAGGGGTCAGACGGGCCTCTTCCCGTTGGCCATGGTGCAGCTGCGGCCACGTTCGTCGCGTGTCCCCGCGCCGGCGGAGGCGATGGTGGACGAGGAGCAGCCGGGCTCGGAGGAGGAGGAGGCGGAGCATGGCCTGCTCCTCGGGCAGCCCAGTAGCGGCGCGGCCGCCGAGCCGCTGGACGAGGACGAGGACGGCGACGACGAGGCGCCGGAGGAGCTGACTTTCGCCTGCGCCCAGGCGGAAGCGAGGGAGGAGGAGCTGCGCGTGCGCGAGAGCGTGCGCAGGTGGGTGCGGCGCCCCCGGGCGCCCAGCGACTCCCGGGGCCAGTCCCGCGCGCTCATCTGTCACCTTTTCTTCCAGGGATAAAACGCTGCAGAAGGAGAAGAGGAAGCGGCGCGAGGAGCTGTTCATCGAGCAGAAGGTTGGGGCAAACGGCCGCGGCTCGAGTTCCCTTGCTCTGGGCTCCGGGCGGGGGTGTTTCTTGGAGTGTGTCCGCCCTAATTCAAAGTGGGCGTGGGAGCGCTGGCACTCGCCCGGCCCTGCCCTATTATGGGGTCTTTTGGGCTTAGTTTGGCCTAAAGCTAGGACTCTGAAACCTCTAAGTGATTTGTGAAGTTAACAGTGGCACACAGGGATAATGTCACATCCCAGGGGTCTGACTGCGAAGTGGCCATGCCTGGGAGATACCTTCGGGCACAGTTACAGAGAATGTTTCCGGGCTTGGCTTTGTACGCCCAGTTTATCTGACGAAGGCTTACAAGTAGCCGGGCAGAGTTGGCCGGGATGCAGGGCTGTTTCAGTAACGTTTTAGAAGCAACTCCGGGAATACCTGTACATCGCTGTTAACTTTGTCTTTAAATTGTCTTTATTCCAAAAGAAAAGAAAGCTGCTTCCAGATGCTGTTTTAGAGCAACTAACTACAGCCTCAGAAGCTGAGTAAGTAACAGGGCTTCTACTTAATGGAAAGCCATCCTTGATATATCCTCGTAACTGAAGAAATTCGCCCAAACTTAAAAGCTAGAGTGGTTTTGGGGTTCCTGATCCCGGTCTACCAAGTAAACTTTGTCCAGCACTTGTCCTGGGGCGGGATAGGTGGTGACTAAACACTTAGCATTTAGAGGTGCAACAGGCACTTAACCAGGAGCTCCTAAAAATGCAAACTCTTCAGCTGGTTTTACCTGTGGCCACCCTTCTTCATCCCTATTTCGTTTAGTGGCTTTGCCCTGTGGTCTGTGCTTAAAAACCCAAAGCTGGAGTTACATTTGTCTTTATTTCCAACTGAATTTACTCCTCATGGCACTCCTTGGTGCATTCTTTTGTTTTTCTAGAGATGGTTTCTCTGTGTAGCCCTGTCTGTAACTCTATCTGTAGACCAGACTGTCCTCAAACTCAGATTTGTCTGCCTCTGCCTCTCAGTGCTGGGATTACAGGTGTGTAGCACTACACCCAGCCTCAGTGTAAACTCTGAAATTTTTACTAGGATAATAGTTGGTTATTTTTCCATATTCAGATCTTGAACTCCACAAGGCATGTAAGCAGATGTTTGGTGAAGTCCTTGTCTTTCACAACCAAGTTCAAGTGTCATCTCTTCCTTCTCACTTCCCTCCCCCATCACGTTCTCCTTTGTGATCTGTACAGTTGCTTCTGTGTCCAAACTGTTGGATAATCTGTTATTATTAAGTACCACCTTGTACTTGGTATTTGGAGTGCTGTTATATAAGCAGTTTCTGAGTTTTTCAGAATATTGAGCATACGCTTTTGGATGCCTACTATCAGTGCTCAGATTTAAATTCTGAGAAAATACTCCATGCTAGTGTAGTCACTGAGTTGGTGGCAGTGCTGTGTGGCATGAGGAGTGAAAATTCGGGGTTGTGGTCATGAAAGCCTGAAGGGTATCTTATTACTTGTTTTGAGTATCCTTTATTGCCTGCCATTCTGAGCTTTTTTTTTTTTTCCTCCCCCATAGCATAAAGGAATCACCAGAAAATGTAAAAGGTATGAATTGTTTTTGTTTAAGTAACTTTTTACGTAAGGGTGAAATGATTTACTTGTATTCTTGGCTGTTTGTGGCCCTTAGGCCTGGCCAAAGTTGGGTTTAAGCCCATTTCTCATTATTTCTTCCAAATAAAACCTGCACTCATGTGGTATGTAGTCTGAAGTGAGGGCCATTAAGTGTTAATTTATATAAGTACTATTCACAAAGTGGATCTTAATTTTTCAGTTCATTTGAAAAAGAAAAGTGAACACATTGCAAAAGGAAGAAACTCCAAGAAAGTTAAAATACAAAAAGTGCACTCAGGCAGGTAAATGCCTTTTGTTCTGTTTTCCTACTGGAATGTAAAGTTTCCTTTTTAAAGTTTTATGTTATGAGGGCAAAGTAGATTAGGGTGTTTATAGAAAAATAACAGATGGTAACAGTTACTTGCTGCCTTAAAATGTGTTAATGTATTTCTTTTTCTTATAAAATAGCATGCTATTTAGCCGTACTGTGTACCACAAGCAAGAACAAAATGATTATCTCAAAATGAGGTCATGTGGGGCTGGGAGTCACAGAAATAGAGAACGAGCATGTACCCTCTAATTCATTTTGACCTTTTGTATTGATCACCAGTCAGACTAAAAGCTACTTGGCTGTAAGGCTAAAAGATCAAGAACTGAGAGATTCAAGGCAAGAAGCAGCTAAACACTTCATCCACAATTGTTTATATGGTTCAGAATCCAAGAGGACTACTGGTAATTTTCTGTCTGTCTGTCTGTCTGTCTGTCTGTCTGTCTGTCACAACAACAAAGAAATGATAAGTAATTCTTCCCTTTAGTAAACAAGTTCCTGTCACTGAACAATAAGAGGTTACCAGTGAAAAAGGCTGCAGCCCAGTTTCTCAATAGCACCTGGGGTAAGATGGAACGTCTTCTTTTGACTCCTAGTCATTTTACAAAGAAAATGTTTTGGGAAGGAGATAGGAGATGGAAAGACCCTCCTTTATAGTGTATCCATCTCTGTAAACTACACTAAAAAAAAAATCTGAATTTTGTTTCTTGGGGTTTTAACTAGAAGCTGTTGAACATCCGTACATATAAAGCTTTGTGTTGTTCTCTTGTAGGTGCTCAGAAACAACAAAATGCCAAGAGGTTTAAAAAACGGTGGATGGCTAGAAAGATGAAAAAGAAAACTTACAAGTGAATTGAAGTAAAAGCACCGTGAAGAACCTGTACTTTGTCTATATAGAATTTAAGTGTATTTGGTGTAAAGAGGACTGATGTCTCAAACTTCAACCATTCGTAAATCATTTTGTAAAGGATCATTGCAAAAACCATAAACGTTCTTGTCTGGAAAAGCAACTGGCTGTATTTCTTTCTGGAATACTTTTTGAGTGTTCTGAAGGAATTTTCATCTTTGTGTGGGCACAAGAAGAGAGGGATAAAAAGAGACCATCCATGAGGTCTTCAGGACAGCTGAAAAGCTATTCTGGTATTATTGATGTGGTTTCTGCTATCAGGGAATTAGAAGTCATTGCTAAAAAGCAATGGGGTGGGGAGAGGGATCCCCAAAGTAGTCAAATAAGCAAATAAGTAGCCAGCACCTTTGTCTAGCAATGAACTAAATTTGAAATAAGTGGATTTTTTGTTTATTTTCTTTAAAGAAAAAGGTGTGTTTGTCAGAGGACAATTTATATTGATACCATTTGGGTTCCAGAGGTTGAATTCAAGTCAGACTTAGTAGCAAAGGTCTTTACCTGCTGAGTCATCTTGCCAGCCCTGGAACAGCTTTTCAAGTTTTTTTTTTTAAAGTCTGGGGGGTTTGCTTGATTGATAGTTTTGACTAATGCAATCACCTGGAGTCAATTTTAGACTGTTGACTTGGGCTGATAGTAAGAATCATTAATTGCTGAAAAAGTACATGAGAACCTAATACATAAATTCAATTGACACTAAAATCTGTAGAAGTAAATTTTTAATGGCTGGTTAATTATATCACTACATTTTTATTGCAATATAGTACTCATTTAAGCACTTAAAAATGGAAGGTGTACAAAGATTAAATTAAGACACGGTAAATTGACTAAATATTTGGTTTTTATATAAATAAAGGTCATAACCACACTGTTGACATGTAATACTGTTATAATACAACAGTTAAACTTGTGAGTCTACAACAGAAGTCATCTGTAGTTAAACAGGAAACAAAGTTGAAAAAGACCATGTTAAAACAAAACTACTGGGACTAACAGGTCGGGATTGTAAGTAGCAACAAACATACTCACTCAGCTCCTGAGTATTTCAAGTTTTACAGTACACATTAAAAATGATTTCTTCCATCAACACTATTAAATTCAAACTGTCGGATGTTTATGCATTTTGCAAGTTACACTGATTGAATGCTTACACAGGAGCGGGGGTCGGAACAGCTCCCAATTTGTAGTTTACATCACCCACATGCTAACACAAACACAACTTGTTCCATTTCCTTCCCCCTTCTCCCCCCAACAAAGAAGGCAGGATTTTTGGTTTCTTTTAGATAATTGTTTTAAAGGATTTCTGATGATCAATTTGAACGTCTGAAATTCAGTAATATTTAACTCTTAGACAACTAAGAGGTTAAAAGATGGAAAATATTTTCTCCTAACACTAAGTTAGAAAATCATTTGCATCATGCTGTAAACTAGGAAGCAATGTAAAGCGACAAAAACCTGTCCCCAGTACATAATTAAAAAAATCTAAATTTCAAATCAGCAGAGCCGGTCTACTTCCATGTTGACTATTTGCCACAATGTAAGTGTGAGCTCTTGAAGTGCATAGCTAATGTAGGTAGTCTTCCACTGTGGCAAATGCACAGGATCCAATTCCTGATCGAGCCATCAGTCCTAGACATTGTGTGGCCTGTCCCATTGCTAGGGCAAGTGGAGGTTGCTTTGGCAGATTGTGGGTTTCTATGGAAAAAGAATTAGAAAATGGAAATAGCAATTAACAAATCATTTTTAAAACCATCTTTCAATCAGGGAAATACAACATTTGCTACATCAAATGTGGATTCTGAACTATCTGGATAGTAAAGCTGATATTTCTAAGGAAAGTCCTTGCAGAACTCAGGTTTTTAAAAATTTTAACACACGGTCTCACTTGTATCGCCTGAAATTTGGAGATCTGCCTGCTTCTGCTTGAGTGCTGGAATCAAAGGTGTGCACACCACACTGGCCAGAACTAGACTTAAAATATTACATACATACATACATACATACATACATACATACATACATACATACATACATACATACACACACACACACACACACACACACACACACACACAGAGAGAGAGAGAGAGACACACACACACATGTATCTTTTTCCTTCTGTGTTAACCATGATGGGAAAGATGTAACCTAGTAGACATTTGGGGTTGAGAAAAGGAAAATTTACTACCCATCTACTTAGCCAAGGTCGGCTGACATTAACAAGAAAAGGTAGTGTCATGTTTTCATTTAGTTTCCAGTGATGATACCCTGTGGATAAAGTCCTGTGAGGGGCCACTGAGCTGCCTCTTAGGCATGCTGGTAAATGTTATTCAGAAGCAAGTGGACGGCTCTTAGAATACTGAGCAAAGCCACCCGAGAGTTGAAGAGGTTAACTTCTAATCATTAATTCAGATGTTTTAATAAACAGAATATTTCTTGGGTGTTACATATCACAACCTTCAGACAGGTGTATTTTTGTTTTGTTTTTTGAGATAGGGACTCACTATGTAGACCAGCCTGACCTGAAACTCAAAGAGATCTGCCTGCATCTGCTTCCTGAGTGCTGGGATTAAACATGCAGTAATTACCAAGGGTGACAGGACCCACTCCAAAGCTAGTAAGGTCACATATTTCCTACAACTTCCACAACTCACCCCAAGAATGATACAGGAAGAGCTTAGGCCCAGTAGATGAGAGAATTTAATAAAAGTACACCATTATTCCCAGTCCCAAAGTGAGGGCTATGGCCTACAGGGTACCTCTATGGTAGGGTTTTTCAAAGATCACACAAACACCTCATTCTAAATGAGAATACTCAATTAAGTGTTTATATATGTGCAGACAAAAACTATTTTCAAACATTCCAAGATACACTTCAATATCCTACCATTTTATCACACCAGAATTCATGTAACCTGGTATGGAGGAAATTTTCTGTATTTTAAAAGATTAATATGTCCCGGACTGTTTTACTGAAACAAATGTTAGGACAATATCCTTTCCAATGTACAGAGAATGTAGCTGAAGTCTAGTTGTCTTGCTTTAGTTACTTACCTAATATTGCACTGTTAAGAGCTGAGCACACAGGTTCTCTCTGAATCGGGTCAAGTTGGTTTCCAACTGGACTGTTCCAAGGATCTGAATATGCTAGCAAACTGAATGCGTCCTGTTGAAAACAATGTCAGTTCAGATAGTTTAGCTGCTGTGTTCACAGTGGTTCCAGATTGAAAGGTTAAGGTACAGCTTTAAAACACTAGGTGACTACAACCTTTAAACACATGTTTTATGTTTCAGAAAGCAGACTATTACAAAACAAGTGTAACTGGTTTTCAGTTTTCTTGTGAACAGTCATTCTTGCTCATTTCTGCCACTCTCCCACCACCACCTGCAACAAAAGCAAAATGGGGGTGGGGGGGAGTCCAAAGGAATGGGCTCATACTGATAAAGAACAGAGAACAAACGTATCCAGGTGCTTTATCACATGTGACCACTGATGTAAAATTGACAATGAGTAAGGCCTGCCTTAATTCTAAACAAATGTGGGAACCCAACCTATATCATTGAATAGCCTCTCAAGTTCAATAATGGAAAAAATAAGGCCAAGATGACCTTGTAGACATTCAGTATATTATTTCCAACTACACTGAAACAACTTTTCTTACAACTTTAAAACAACTGGCATATAGCTTTCTTTTTGCTCTTTTTGTCTTACCACGGGAGATGTGATAGTTTCAGACACTGGCTTCAAAGTCCAAACTGTACTACTTGCCAGCTCTGTGGCCTCTAGCATAAAACTGTCTGTCTTAAAAACCAAGTTTCATCATTTGATGTGATTTTGGGTGATTACACAAAGAGATGTCATTACATAGAATCGTGTGAGAACTAATGAAGTTACCAAAGTCCTTCGGTGGTTTGAATAAGAGTGGTCTCCATGAAGTCCTATGTTTGAATGATTGGTACCCAGTTAGGGAAACTGTTAGGAGAGGATTAGGTGTGGCCTTGTTGGAGGTGGTTGTCACTGGAAGTGGACCTTGAGGTTTCAAAAGCTGTATACACCAAGGCCCAGTTTCTCTGCTGCTGCCTGTGGGTCAGGATGCAAAGCTCTCAGCTACTGCTCTAGCACCGTACCTGTCTGCTTCTTGCCATGATCACAAACTAACCCTCTAAACTGTAAGCCCCCAATTAAGTTCTTTTGTAAGAATTGCCTTGGTCATGGTTTCTCTTCACAGCAACAGAATCGGAACTAAGACAATTCTAGTGCTTCTGCTCTGTAAGCCAAGTCAATAGCCTGACCCAGAGTAATATTCCACACACACATATATAAATGAACAAATACAAGCTATGAACAGACGAGAGTCTTTACTGCCAACACAAACATATGAAGGGTAACAGAGAGAAAACTGGGCATCACTCTGAAAATTTTCTGAAAAACATCTAGATTTACTTGCTCAGAATACTATTCCCCTTATCCAGCATTACTGAATGTCTGCTAAAGTAACTTCCTGCTTTAGTTGGAATTTCCTGGTCAGTTGTACTTAGGCTTATGTCATCCACACAAACCATGAAATAGTCTGAAGTTACAACATGGCAATGCATATGCCACTAAGTACACACATGACTCATCCATTGGTCTACATTGCCGAATATTTCATTCAGGTTAGACTGCCCTAATTATAATGACAGTTATAGAAGCAGAAGTTACTTAGTAAACCATTTAGAGTTACTAGTAACTACTCATAGGTGCCGGGTGTAAGGGAGCCTTTATGTACCTGCTTGACAACAACAACGGCTTCTTATTGTACTGACCATGATTTTGTGTCTAATAGAGCTAGTGGTTTTGTTTCCTATCCCACTCTACCTCCAGCTTACTGTTTAAAAACAGCCCATATTCCACAGAGCTAACTTACGATTAGTCATATTATTTCTAAAGACTATACTCTTATCAACACTATTTTACCCTACAAACCATAGCCATCTAATGAGATGTTACTCCCACCATACAGGTACATTTTATAAGATATACCAAGAATATGTCCAATGAGTGACTAGTACATAGAACCAAGAATAAAACCATTCAGGGATCTACACCCTGACATCACCAAAAAGGCAGATTAATCTCAACCCCCTTTAGTATTTAAAAACAAAAACAAATAACAGCTGTAATAAATTATTGTTGGAAAATACAAGACATTTCAGGCACTCATGGATCACAAGTGCTTTCACCTGAGGTTGGTATGCCCACCTTACAGATGCAAACTGAGGCCCAGTGAGAGGTGAAGATCACACAGTACCATAAGATGGAAGTTCCCTTGGATCCACACATCAGTAATTATTAAAAATTTCCTCTTATTTTGGTGAACACAGCTGCTAGGCAGGGCACCCAACAACCAGAACCTAATCACTGCTTTTAAGCACATTTCTATTGACCTAATGGAAAGATGTAAACTGAGGCTAAGAGAAAAAGAAAAATCCATGGTTAAGGAGGATCTAGATCCTAAAATACTTCAAAAACCACATAATGCAAACAGGGGAAGCAATGGGACTTTAAAGAAAGCAGCCTGTCAGGGATTAGACTTGACTTGAGAAGACCCATAGAGCAACAACACAAAATACAGCCTAGTGCCTCTCAACCTTCCTAATGTTGCTACCCTTAATACAGTTTCTCATGCTGTGGTGCTTCGTAACTGTAATTTTGCTACTGTTATGAGTTGTAATGCAGGATATCTAATGTAAGCCCCACCCCCACCCCTGGTTGCAACCCACAGACTAAGAATCATAGGCTTAGAAGCAGAGTAAAGCTCTAAGCAAGAAAATCAGAATCAAACTCCCAAGCATAAACACCTAGAAAGTTCAAAATTAAGGAACACAAATGAAATTAGGAAAGCAATATGAATGGCAGAGCTGTGCTAATAACCAATTCTAAAATTGTATCAAGATAGGATGAAGTCCCTACCTAGTGCCACTCCTATAATCCATTATCACAGTTGGCTCACTGGTACAAAGTTTCTTGAATGCAATCTAGCAACCAGCAGCATGAGCCATGATAATACTTAAGAGCCTTTCTCAGTAATTTCTAAAAAAAACTATCTCAGTGGGAAATCTTTAAAGAAACCAAGATGCATGTATATATATAAAGGTGTCACAAAAACACCACTGTGACATAAAAACAAAACAGCAATGGACAAAGGACAACAATCACATAACCACTTCAAAACTACATATAAATAAGGTATAGAAACTGGGAGAAATACTTTAAGATAAAACAAAACTAAACAAACAAACTCACAAGTCACGCAAGGCAGCTCAAACTGGGGAGGCTGAGGGAGGAGGTTTGAAGGGACCGTGTTTTAAGAAGACAAAGAGGTAACACTATAATTACTAACTAGGTGAAATACGTGCACGTGGGAAGTAAGATACACAGCTTAAAACTCAGTGCTACCACAGGCTATGCTTCATTTTAAAGGGAAAGATGGCTTTGATGGAAATACCTGGGGGAAATGCAGAGTCTCAAACTACTCGATTGTGACTTAAGAGCCAGAGCAGTTTCTGGACAGAGTGACTCTCAGCTAGCTCTGTTTCTCTTTTAGTTACTGTACTGAAAGCAAATGGAGGCCATGACTGCTCATCTGAGTCACACTGCTGACATTCAAGAAATAGTTGCCAAACCAACCAATCTAGGCAGCTTGGGAACTACTGAAAGGAGTAAGCTGTAAGGAACAAAGAACAAAGATGACAAGAAAAGACGTAGGAAGACTGGAAACCTGGAAGCACAAAGGTCCAAAGAGACACTTTGGGCTGCCCACAGCTGCAGGCATTCCCTAAGAAGGGAAAAAGAACACTGCGCCTAAAATAAAAAACCCGCAAAATTTTACCTTTAACTTCAAACCAGTCTCTCTGTGTGTTCTGCATAAAGATGTCTACGCCACTGACAGTCTGCACATACACGGTGATTGATCCCTTAAGATTATAAGATAGCTGGGCAATTTCTACTGCCTACCGACATCACTCTTGTCAGTGTTAGTCATGTGTTTGAGGAAGTATAAACAAAGTATTTAAAGCACTGTCAGCCACCACACACATTGGATAGCTAGCAGTGCAGCAGACTACACCATCCAGGTCTGTGTTAAGTGTACAATGATGTTTGCACAAGAAGAAAATTGTCAAATGTATTTCTTAAGACATAAAGTGATACATAATTACAGGTGTGATTTGAAGGGTTCTGAAAATCCTCAAATGTAGCATGAAAAATCAGAGACCGATATGGGGGTTCAAAGTGAAAATCAGAAAAGCAAAGCAGCCAGCCACTAGAGAGTTCTTACCTCTACCAAGGCTGTGTGATCCTGTTCTGAGTGACTGCAGACTGAATACACTGCACTCTTGTCTCCACCTGCCATATGTTACTCTCTCTGCTGGGATTAAAGTCATACACCAGCACTGCCCAGCTTCTATGGCTAACTATTGTGGCTGCTGAGATTAAAGGTGTGTACTACCAACTGGCAATCTAAGCAACAGTGGAGAGGCTACCTTAAATGCCCTCCCCCAATGATAATGAGATTGATGACTAATTTACATGCCATCCTAGAGCCTTCATCCAGTGGCTGATGGAAGCAACTAAACACTGAACTGAACTCCTGGAATCCAGTTGCAGAGAGGGGAGGAGTGATGAGCAAAGGGATCAAGACCAGGCTGGTGAAACCCACAGAAACAGCTGATGTGAACAAGGGGGAGCTCAGGGACCCCAGACTGATGGCTGAGAGGCCAGCATGGGACCAATCCAGAGCCCCTGAACATAGGTGTCAGTGAGGAGGCCTTGGCAATCTATGGGGCCTCAGGTAGTAGATCAGTATTTATCCCTGGCACATGAATGGACTTTGGAAGCCCATTCCACATGGAGGGATGCTCTCTCAGTCTGGACACATGGGGGAGGGTCTAGGCCCTGCCTGGGATGATATGACAGACTTTGGAGATCCCCCATGGAGGGCCTCACCCTCCCTGGGGAGCGGAGGAGGGATGGGGTGGGGACTTGGGGAGGTTGGTGGGGGCAGGGGAGGGAGAGGGAGCTGGGATTGACATGTGAAACAAGCTTGTTACTTAAATAAATAAATAAGTAAATAAATAAATACATAAATAAATAAGTGTGAGCCACCACTGCCTGGCCTCTATGGC